GGGCGGGAGAGAGAAAAGCGAAAGCTGGTTGGGAACAGATTAAAAGAGAGGGAGAAAACGATGTCACGTCTATCTATGCATGTGGGGGCATCAACATGTCATGAACATGAATACAGTTCAACCTTGGCTTTCCGAGCCCTCCTGTAGATTGCACTTCTTCTTCTTCGTACCAACCCACCAAGTAGCAACAGGTCCAACAACAACAAACTCACTCGTTGATTCTCTTTCTTTCTTTTCTTCTTTTGCTACATACCCATCCACATCGACAATTTTGGCATCATAATAATAACTGTAATCACTTAAAGCCAGACTTGACTATCCTGTATGTGTGTGTGTGTGTGTGTGAGAGAGAGAGAGAGAGAGAGAGATTGCTTTAATGCCATCCTGTATACTGGTTCCTACCGCTTTATTCGTTCGTGAGGGGTAGCATTGGTCCTTGCAAAAGCGTATCCTGTGGATGCCTCTCTTTTCAGACAACCAACCAGAGTCTTGTTACAAGAATACTATGTAATAATTTGAGTGGGATATTTGCTCAAACACATCCCTTTAAAATATTATATTTATCAAACTCTGTACATATTGAGAGAGAGAGAGAGAGAGAGGGTGGTACAAAACAAACCAAAGCAACCTAAGGGTTTAAGTTCATGCTACTGGAGACTGGAGTTCTTCTTTTGACCCAGGGTTTGTCGTCTACGCCTCACTTGCCTTTGGTTTTGATATTGCATGGTTTTGAGTGGAACTTCGGCTTTTTCTTGGATTGTTTGTCGTCTCTCTCATAACCAACAAATAAGTACTTACCGTATTATTATTCTCGTTATTACAACATCATTGTGTTGTATGACAACATTTTCTCTTTCACTCTTGCCTTACACACACAGACACACACACACACTCTCATACACTTTATTATAGATACCCTCCTGGACTTTTATTGGGTGGCGGCAGAACTCCTTGAAGTATGAGAAATTTCCTGGAATTTGATGGTTGCTAACTTTCTGCTTTCTTGCTATAGTTGAATTGGGGAAAAGAGGAATGCCATAGTAGAATCACACTTACACTTAGATTTAGAACAATGTTATAGAGAGTTATTGACGAACTAGTCAAATGTTTGTCAAGTTGTCATTGAATTAATTGTAAGTTCTAATGTTAAATGAAGCTTTATTAAATTTTCAATTGGGTCCAAATCAACAGCTCTCTTTTGATTGAACAAAAACTATGGAAAGAACAATATGAGCCTATGAGGAGGCTTGAGTAAGAGAAGTGGCCAAAACTAGGTTAGGCGAAAATTGCTACTTTGCCTTCTGCAACTCTTAAGATAACTGCCTCACTCAACTCTTGAAAGAAAAATGGATGCAAAGGAAAGTCTTACACATACAGTGCTAGTACATTCTATTGCCCTAGTTTTAAGATGAAAACTTAAATTCACTGACCAGAAACACCAAGAAAACATCAACTTGGCTCTTATACTCATGAAAATTGATCAAACCTAACAAAAGACCATTACAACAGACTAGGCAATTCAGCTGAAACCACCTAGACATGCTTCTACCAATCTGCATAGCAGAGTACGATTGGTAAGATTTACTACAGTTAGCTACTTACGGTCTCCAATTATTAAGTGAAGATGAAGGACATGCTTCTATAATCTGCATAGCAGAGTACGATTGGTAAGATTTACTACAGTTAGCTACTTATGGTCTCCAATTATTAAGTGAAGATGAAGGATAATGATTTTGCTTGAAACTGCTCAAAAGATTTGCTTCAAAGAAGTCTAAGAATTTAGACATCATGCTAATTAATTCCGAGCTAGGGCTAATATATTGAGCAAAAGAGAATTGAGTTATGATAAAGGACTTTCCATTAGAAATCAGCTTATCATGTCAGATATCAAACAAGCACACCTTCACACACTTAACAAACAAGCCCATAACATACAAATGACCATAAAGATCAGCAACAACTTACAACTAACAAAGCATTAATAAATCAAACCACAAAGACACAAACCCTACCATATTCTTAATTCTTCGGTGATCATGATGTGATCGTGTGACTGGTTCCTCACTCAGCCCTTGAAATTTCATCATCTCACATGCTAATTGAGATTAAGATCTTGGAAGTTAAAGTGGTTTAGTGCTTCAGTGGAACACCCTTGAGTCAATTATCTTGGATTGAAGCTGCAGGGACCAAAAGGTCAAGCTTCAAGTTAATCGCTTGCAAAACATGAAAGTTGAAATTATAGGAAATGATTGATAGAAGAAGAGTTGAGACCAGAGAGTTCTGGCCATGTATTTCCACCCCAGTACTGATTATTTTCTGATGAAATACTCAAAAACTGCCTTGATAAATTTGACCCTTGGTTGTTTTCCACTTTCACAGGAGCCACATGAGTAACCCCAGTGCTCGTTGCTGTGGACAGTCGATGACTTTCTCCAGCCATGGAAGATGGTGCTTCAACTCCATTTTGATAAGGGAATAAGCCGGTGGGTGGCTCGAAACCGGTAAAGAAAGGAAATCTCCATTGATCTGCACCTCCAGCAACTAAAATGTTGCTGTTTCCCCCTGAATGATTACCCATCTGGAAAGTCATATGAGTCTCTGGCTCAAATCCACCAATATTTGATCCAATATTAGCCCCTCCATACTGATTTAGATTTTGTACACTAGCCATGAGAGATAATTGTGATGGTGGCCGTAGCAAATGGCCAGTACTCATCCTTGCACTGCAGCTAGAGGGACTTGCACTTGTGGGATTAGAACCCGTCTTCCGTTCACCGGTGACAGCAGGTTTTGAGCAATTGCTTTTGTTTCTCTTGTTTCTCCGGCACCCTCCGCCCACCGGAACGTTTCTTAGGGCACCACCTCTTGTCCAGTATCGTCGACATGTCTTACAGAAGTGCCGAGGCTGTGAGCGGCTATAATTATTGTAGTAGCAAAACTTAGTATTAGTAGAATCACACCTCGGGCAATTTTGTGCTGCTTCTGGAAGAGGTAGCTGAGCCAGCCGAGCTTGGTCGACTACTGAACCAGGTCTGATTGGGCCGCCTCCACCACCTCCAACTTGAGGCGGTGGGGGTGGCGGTGGAAGCTGAAGATTGTCACTGCCACTTCCTTGTTGATGATTTGCTTGCTGTAATTGAAACACCCCAAAGAAGGAAAGTAATAGTTTAGATATCAAGTATATTCAAGAAGAGTTCAGTTTACACAAGAATAAAATGAATATTATCTTTTTAATCTTGCTTTTTTTGATGAATTAGATGTGAAGATGAAAGCCTTACCTGATGCCAATTGGGATGGTCTAGATAGACTGGAACCGATGAGAAAGCCATGGTTTAGATTTAATCTTTTCTCTTTTGTAAAGGCCAAAGGGTAGTGATGCGTTTTTTTGGAAATATATGGTGGAGAATCAGAGGAAGAGGAAAATACCAAAGCTAAGAGAGATAGAGAAAAAGAGAAAGAAGAAGAAGGAAATTAGATGGGGAGAGGCTTTTGCTTGTTTAATTTTCTTTCATTCCCCATCTCTTTTTGTTTTATTATATTTTTAGGGTTTTGAGTGGGCGAAGTTTCTTAGCCTTTAAGCTTTCTTGTGATTCCCGTTGGACTGCATTTTAGTGCTCGGGAAAAAAAGAGAGTTGTGACTGCTCCATGCATACGAGAGAGAGAGAGAGAGAGAGAGAGAGAGTGGCCCCAGCTCACAGATCACATTCATTCTGGAGTTAGCTTTACTTTTGCCACATGACATGAGTATTCTACCTGATCGTATTACACCAAAGTTCTAGTTTGAGATTTCAATAATATCATTTAAATTAATAGTCTCATCTAATCCATCCGTTTTTATCAAATTGATAGTGAAACCCACTTAATATTAATACCCACTTCTGCTAATCCAATAGTAAAGACAGATTAGATTAAAAGATAAGGTCAGATGAATAAACCTAAATACCATTACCCTTCAAATTTAAATCCTTCTATTCACTTCACTAGAATGCCAATGTAAAGCATAGAAACCCACTAGTGTGACCTTGTGAATTGAATGAAAATTCAAAGTTAAGAGGATTAGAATGCGTTTCAGCTTCATCGTTCTGTTTCATTTCTTCTTCCTCACCTCATTTTCGCCCTCATCTATTTGTCATATTTCTTTTGGGTAGTTTAAACTTTAGTTCAGGCAAGTACAGTAAAAACTCACCAAGGCAAGGACATTAACATCCTCAGTACTAACTTCCTGGGAAAAGAAAAAACATCTTGGGTACTAGCTAGCTAGCTTTAGCACAATGAAAATAATTGCAGCCCAAAATACTCTTGGTATGTGTAATGCCCTTCGACTTCTACTTTCCAATGAGATTTGCAAAGTCATTGTTTAATTCCAAGATTCTCTCTGAACCATATAAACCCATTACTCCTGCCAATTCCTATACGGAATGTATGCTTTGAAAACTTTATTCATAATATTCCATTTTACAAAAAGAAAAACCAGCTTCTAGATTTTACCGAAGGTAAATAGTGTTATTAATCCGAAAACTATACACATTACGACAAAACTCAAAACATTGAAAGGAAAGCATGCTCACAAAAAAGGCTTATAGTTTGGGAAAAAAAAGAGACCATAAGACTTCAAAACAAAAGAGGAAACTGTGCAGACTCCACCTATGGGAGTATTAAAGAGAACCCAAAAAACGATTGGAAAATTTGTGCTCTGAGATCAACCATTGGTAAATGCAACAAGACATATCACTTTAGGGCTTTAATACCTTTAGTTGATGAGGTTATGTCAATCAACTCCTTCATGAGTTAGCCCTAGTGAGCAGTGTGTGCACATTCGGAAATGTTTTGAGGTATATAATAATATGGCTAAAATATATTTTTTGTCCCCAAATTATGTGTGTAATATCTATTTGGTTTCCAATATTTTAATTGCGTGTATTTGATCTTTAAGATTTTTAATTTGTATCTGCGTGATCAAATCTCAAACGTCCATAAAAAAATTATTAACGACTCTACACACACGCCAATGATATTAATATTTTAGGAACCAACTAGATACAATATTAAGAATAACGTGATTGACATGTGAACAGAAACGTTAATAATTTTCTGAGGAATACTTGGATTGGACCACAAAGATAGTAATTAGGAACTTTATAGACTAAATAGACACAATTAAAATATTAGGAACCAAATAAACACTAAATAACTACTTTGAGAATTAAAAATGTATTTTATTCTCAATAAAAAAGATTCAGTTGTAATGTTGGAAATCAAAATACCCAGACATCTGTGGATAGACAACATTAAAGCATTTTGTATGGAAAAACATGTTCCTTAAGCGCAAAGGACTCTTAGAATTGGCAATGCTACGTTGACTAAATCTCTATTTAACATTTTTTTTTAAACATATTTAAGATTAATTATATTGGAAGTCTCTAAAATATAGAATTTATCTTATTTTTATCTTTAATGTTTAAATTATATTATTTTAGTTTTTAAAATATTGAATATGTTTCTATATGGTCTTTCAAGCAGACAACGTCCAGATTTTTAATAATTTTTGATTATAAACTTGTCACATTATACCTAAATATGGACAAAAAATAATTTTCATAGCTCTCAAAATAAAATTTGGGTAACTCTTGACAAAAAATATGTATTATGGGTAGTTTTCGACTAAAATTGGGATATCTTATGATCAAAACTGTATAATTTGGGTAGTTATTTAACCAAAATTTAAGTAAAAATTTGATCAAGAGTTATCCAAATAATTTTTTTGTCCATATATAAGTATTACGTGACAAATTTATGATAAAAAATCGTTACTAATCTAGACGTTGTTTGCACGATGGATCATATAGAAACATATTTAATATTTCAGTAATTAAAATGATGCAATTGAAATATTAGGGACTAAAATAAGGCAACATTGTACTTTGAAGACTTTCAATACAATTAACCCACATATTTATATTCAATAGATAAATGGATGATTGTATCATACATGAAATATTTGTATGTAAATTTACTAAGTACAACTTTATTGTAAGAATATAAAATCTCGATAACTTTTGACACCCCCAAACTCCAATGGAAGTAGGGGTGTTAATCGAAACAAATTATTCAAGTTTGGCTCATGCTCGACTCGAATAGAATTAGATTCGAGTTTGACTTGTATTTTTAATGAACTAAGATTGAACAATTTTTTAAACTCGTTAAAAAAAAATAAGTTTAAATGACTCAAAAATCAACTCGTTTACATGTAAAATAGTCGAGTTACTTGGGTTCAGCTTGACTTTCAACAAATTTTTAGACTCATTTAAAAAAAACAAATTCGACAAACTCGATTCAAGTTCGTAAAACTCGATTCAATTAACCCCTAAATAAAAGTGAGGAAAATAATTCCATTGCCCGAAGTTGTATACACATCACACATGGTACCTATGCTATCAAATGTAGACATCGAGCATAATGGAAAATATGACTATTAATAGATTATAAAAGAGAAACAGAATTCATATATCCTAATCTCAAATAATTGTGATAAAAACTTTGTCCATTTCAACATATACACCTGAACAAATTATCAAACACCATGTGTGCGTAGCTCATCAGTCATCACTGGACTTCCAAACTGAAGAGGAGGGGAGCCATTCCCCGGTGAAAAGCACGTAGTTTGTGGCCCCAGAAGGTCTCCAGATGTAGCGACAGAGAAGGTGGTCCAAGCATCAATCAATCGTATTTATAAGATGCTCATGGTCTGTATTACTGGCTGCCATTTTCACCTTTTTGGTACCTCTCCTAACCCAATATACAGTCCCTACTAGCCTACGGAATTTATACGGATTTGGCCGGTGGACAGCAAAAAAAAAAGAGGCATGATTCCATATCACCAAGACAATGAAACAACCCATTGCTTTTCCTTTTCATGAGTTTGCAATTGTTATGATCTCAACCTATCAATTGGTGTCTTATGTGTAAAAAAAATTTATTCTCTCTCTCTCTATAGGTTCAAAGTGTGTTTGTTTTTTGCACTTAGAAACGATAATTTCTTTGTGTTATCATATTTATCACTAAGTCACCCAATGACTTCAACAGCTATGGATGAATTGCATATATATATAGTTGCTGTATGCTCAGGAAGCTCAGATTAACAACAGCGGTTTGAGAAGATTCTGTGTTAGGTAGTGGGTGTGGTTACTGCTATGGGGGTTCATTAATTATTAATTTTTGAAATACCCTAATATTTGATCTATCTGTGCAAATATTTTTCGATTAATTCAAAAACAAAAACGTTTCGAACATACCCTGAAAATAGAAAAAACTTTGGTAATCAAACTATTCCGAAACATAAAATGTCCGATTTATCACACTTGATTTCTAGCAAAATAAAAATATTTCAGAATGGTTTCGATCTAAAGGGTCACTTCACTTTGGGTTTCCAGGGATCACTTCACATGTTTTCACTTGTGGAAGACACATAAGGGTCGTGGCACCTTCAATCGCCATGCACGTGCATGGAGCTCAGACTCAAGAGTCCTCTGATTTGGTTTTAATAAATAATATATTACTTAATATGTTTGATATTGTTCAGTAGTATACCATTACAAGTTTGTTGCCTGCCTAACATGGATCTGTTGATTTGTTTAGTAATGGAATCTTATGTGGGATCGAGGTTTCTTCGAGGAACAGAGGATCAAGGTTGGCGGTGTGTTAGAATCTAATTCCCTCTCTCTCACTCACTCACTCACTCACTCATACATTGGCTTTTGCAAACTTTCATGTCAAAAGCACCACAAATGCAGAAATATAGTTGGAAAGGAAGCAATATCGCAGCTTTAATGCACGTAACCCCCTCCCCCTTTTCCTTCCCTTCTCTCTCTCCAAACCCACTCCACACACAAAAGGCTGATAATAGAGCCGAGAGTTACTTGTGCTTCACTCATTTTAAGCTCAGTTCATTTTTTAAAAAATAAATTAATTTTGAATAATTTTTTAAATTTATTTAAAAAAGCAGATTAAAAAACTCGGTTCGAGTTCACAAACTTATATATAAAATAGTTGAACTATTTGGGCTCGGATCATTTTGAACTTAGCTTAGACTCGACTCGTTTTATAAATAAATTAAACTTGAACAATTTTTTAAACTCGATGATCAGCCCTCCACACACCCAAACACAATGTCACAGTCAGTTTTATATACAAAGTTTAGAATAAAAAAGTTTTAATTTAGGATTCAGATTTGAAAAATGCTATTTGAAATCTAATCTATAAACTTAATTCAATGCAACCATTGAATTGAAATTATATTAAATTAAGTCCCCTTCTGATAAAAATAAATAAATAAGTCCGCCAATTAGACCCCCCCTCTGCCTCCCCAATTGGATGTAAAACTTGTTGGGGCCAACTACATTAGGAACAAAACCGCTGATTTAATGGCTACAATAAATAAAGTCTTTTCAAATTATGTTCAAGTAACATTGTCCAGAAGAAAAAATGTTTTTTCCAAATTATTGCAAATGCATCT